TTTTTGCTGTACACGGGCCTCTCACTGTTGTGGCCTCTCCCGTTGCGGAGCACAGGCTCCGGACGCGCAGGCTCAGCGGCCATGGCTCACGGGCCCAGCCGCTCCGCGGCATGTGGGATCTTCCCGGACCGGGGCACGAACCCGTGTCCCCTGCATCGGCAGGCGGACTCTCAACCACTGCGCCACCAGGGAAGCCCGAAGCCCCTTGTTGACCAAACATCGTCTGAAACACTTAGCTATCTTACACTACTCTGCACCACACATACACACACACAATTTAAAGGAATGATTAATGAGCGTTTTTCAAAATGTTAAACTTTAGTAAAGAAATAAAACTTCACAATGAAAGAAAATTTGCTTTTTTACCTTTTCAATCAGAAAAAAATTATTTCATTTCTTCTTCTTTGCTTTATAATAAGAATATCCAGTCCTGACAAGGGTGCAATCCTGAAAAGGGTAACAAAAAAAAAGACATGCTGGCAAGGTGCTTAGTGGAGGTTAATTATTGATAGTTTTTGCAGTATGCAAACAGAGTGTTGGAGGGGTTATATCTTTCACCCAGTGTATAACTTTTAAAGAACTATCACAATGTAACTCCCCCCGAAAGATAAATATTTTATATAATTTATTATCTTGCTCAACATTAGCCATAAAGGAAAAACCTGTAAGCAAGTTAAATTATAATAAATTTGGGAGGAGTTAGGGAAATCATGAAACATTGATACAATGGAATGTTATGAAGCCAAATAAAATTTAACATGTACAGTGATGTCAGCAAAATGCTAAGCTGCGATTTTGGAAATTGTGTGTCCGTTTTCATTTGTTTCAAGGGATTTCTTTATTTCCTCTTTGATTTCTTCAATGACCATTGGTTTTCTAGTAGCATATTGCTTAGTCTCCACTTATTGTTTGTTTGTTTAATTTTACTTTCTATAATTGATTTCTAATTTCATGTTGCAATCAGAAAAGCCTCTTGATACAATTTGCATCATCTTACATTTACTGAGACTTCTTCTGTGGCCTAGAATGTGATCTATCTTGGAGAATGTTCCATGTGCACTTGCAAAGAATTTGTTTCCTGCTGTTTTTGGATGGAATGTCCTTTAAATATCTGTTAAGTCCAACTGGTCTAATGTATCATTTAAGTCCAGTTTTTCCTTATTGATTTTCTGGCTAGATCATCTAACCTTCGATGTAAGTGGAGTGTTAAAGTCCCCTACTGTTATTGTATTCCTGTCAATTTCTCTATTTAGTTCTGTTAATATTTGCTTTATATATGTAGGTACTTCTAAATTAAATGCATATTTGTTCACAAATGTTATAGACTCTTCTTCGATTGATGCCTTTATCATTATATAATACCCTTATTTGTTTTTTATTATGGACTTTGTTTTAAAGTCTACTTTGTCTGATATGGGTGTTGCTAGAACAGGTTTTTGTTTTGTTTTTGCCTCCATTTGCATGGAGGATATTTTCCATCCCCTGACTTTCATTCTGTGCATGTCTTTAGCTCTGGAGTGAGGCTCTTGAAGGCAGCATGTATACTGTTCTTATTTCTTTATCCAATCAGCCACTCTATGTCTTTTGATTGGAGGATTGAGTCCATTGACACTTAAAGTGACTGATAGTACTGTACTTATTGCCATTTTGTTACTTGTTTTCTGGTTGTTTTTGTAGTTTTTCTTGTCTTTTTATTCTTCTTTTAGTCTGTTATCTTTTGATTTGATAACTTTATTTGTGTTATATTTGGGTTACTTTCTCTTTAATTTTTGTGTATCTACTGTAGGGTTTTTCTTGTGGTATTTTTGTTGTTGTTTTGGATTTTTTTTTGCAGTACGCGGGCCTCTCACTGTTGTGGCCTCTCCCGTTGCAGAGCACAGGCTCCGGACGCGCAGGCCCAGCGTCCATGGCTCACGGGCCTAGCTGCTCCGCGGCATGTGGGATCCTCCCAGACCGGGGCACGAACCCATGTCCCCTGCATCGGCAGGTGGACTCTCAACCACTGCGCCACCAGGGAAGCCCTCTACTGTAGGTTTTGGATGTATTATTACCATGAAGTTTATATATGTCAACCTATACCTATATCTACTTGCTTTATATATCGTTTATATCGTATATATACGTATATATCGTTTAAGCTCTAACACATTCTAAAAGATCTACATTTTACCCCTCCATCCTGACATTTTGTGTTTTTGATGTCATATTTTACATCTTCATGTCTATCCCTTTTTAATTTAGTCTTTTACATTTGTACTAGTTTATTTAAGTTTGTACTAGTTTATTTAAGTGGTCGATGCACCACCTTTACTATGCATTTGGCTTTACTAGTGGGATTTTTCCCATTTTATATTTTCTTATTTCTTGTTATAGCCTTTTCTTTTTCACTTAAGGGGGACACTAATATTTCTCGTAGGGTCAGTTTAGTGGTGATAAACTCAGTTTTTGCTTGTCTGGGAAACTCTTTAGCTCTCCTTCAATTCTGAATGATAATTTTGCTGAGTAGAGTGTCCTTGATCATAGGTTTTTTTTTTTTTTCCTTTCAGCACTTTAAATATATCATGCCACTCCCTTCTGGCCTGCAGTATTTCTACTGAGAAATCAGCTGATAGCCTGATGTGGTTTTCCTGGTATGTGACTCATTGTTTTTCTCTTGCTGCCTTTAGAATTCTCTATTTTTAACTTTTGCCATTTTAATTATGATATGTCTGGTTGTGGGCCTCTTTGGTTTCATCTTGTTTGAGACTCTCTGTGATTCCTGCACCTGGATATCTTTTGCCTTCTCAGATTTGGGAACTTTTCTGCCATAATTTCATCCAATATATTTTCTGCCTCTTTCTCTCTTTTCTTCTCTTTCTAGGACCCCTATAATGCAAGTGTTAGTGCACTTGATGCTACCCTAGAGGTCCCTTAAACTGTTCTTATGAAAAATAATTTATTCTTTATTGCTGCTCTGATTGAGTGATTTCCACTATTCTGACTTCCAGGTTGTGAGAACGTTCTTCTGTGTCACCTAACCTGTTGTTAATTCCTTCTGGTGTATTTTGTATTTCAGTCACTGTATCCTTCAGCTCTGATTGGATCTTTTTAATATTTTCTAGTTCTTTGAGGTTCTCATTGTGTTCCTCTACTATCTTCCCACATTCAGTGAGCATTTTTATTACTATTGCTTTGAGTCTTTTATCAGGTAAATTATTTATCTTGCTTTAGATAGGTTTTTTTTCCCTGAGGTTTTATCTTGTTATTTCATTTGGAACATGTGTGTTTTTCATCTAATTTGTTCGGTCTTTTCTGTTTGTCTCTATGACATTAGGCAAACAGTTACCTATTCCAGAGTCTAAACGTGTGTCCTTGTGTGGGAGCATCTCTATGTGGTCTGCCTGTGACCAGTGGCATTGGTGGGAGAGCTGGATCTAAAGTGAGCACAGCCCATGTCTTCTCCCTAGGTGAGCTGGCAGCTGCTGTTTTGTTGGGAGATAGGGCTGGAGTCAGAGGGACTAGAGCCAGAGTTAGGTGTGAGCTGAGGCTTCTTCTAGGCTCAATGGCAATTGGTGACCTGTTGGGGGTAGGGCTAGGGCCCAAGGGGCTGGAGACACACTTCTGAGTTGCCACCACTTTCTCCCTGTGCATGTGATGGCTGTCTCTGCCTTAGCAGGGACCAGTGCCAGAGCAGGAAGGGATGGAGCAGGAGGCTCTGGGCATGCACTGAGGTAGTCCTGGCAGACCGGCCAGAGCGTCAAGCAGAATCCAATCTGCTGTCTCTGTTGGGACTGAAAGCAATCAAGTCTGTGTACACGCTCTTGAAGAACAGAGTCTTGGTTTCTTACAGCCCTATGGTAAGCCCCACTGGTTTTCAAACCAGCCAAGGGGCTCGTCTTCCCAGTGCCAGTCCTCAGACCTGGGGTGCTTAATATGGGTCTTGTACCCCTCGCTCTTTAAGGAGGATCCCTGAGCCTGTTTATACTCCTCTGGGTCACCTGCTAGGGGTGTGGGTCCTGAATGGATTGCTTCTCCTGCCCACATACTAGGCTCTGTGAGGTTCTTTCTTGATAGCTTGGGTTGTAGAGAGCCATTCTGCTACTCTTCAAGTTGTTTGCAGTGAGAGTTACTCTATGTGTAGTGGTAGTTTTGATGTCTTCATGGAGGAAGGTGAGTTCAAGATCCTCCGACTCTGCCTTTTGATCCCCCTCCCGAGTATTCTTACTTTGAAATCTTTATTATTTCACACACACCAAAACATGCAAGAAGCTTTAAACTAGAGACACAGATTTTAATTAGCTCCAAAGATTATAGCAATTCTCTCCACACCCCTAGAATCAATAAATTCTGATACAACCATGGTGGATCACTCATAATCAATATTCTTCAGAATATGGATAGTCAGGGTGATCAGAAATGCTGAAAGAGAAGGAGGGAGATTAATTTTATTAACTCTGTCTCACACTTGTCAAGGAGAGTGTTCCTCTGTGGAAGCAGTTAGGATGCTCTAAAACTCTAAATTTACAACCAACTCATTTACAACATACATATATGCAGGCTCCCGGTCCATATGTCAACTGCATCTTCATATCCAGTTCCCACATTCACATGCAACATAAAAGCCACAGTGATATCTACCTTGGTTGGAATTACAATTTCTAAGAAGGTCTAAGAACTATAGATGAAATGCTAAGGTCACTTCAGCCCCAGGTGGAACATTTGGCCCTGGATGATGGCAATAATCACAGTAAGAATCTTGCTGATCTTTTTCACACATCCATCCAACACATAAACATGGAGCACCCCCCAAAATAGAGGGTGCTCTGTTAAAAAAACTTCTAATCTCTTGAGATATCATGTACACATAAGTAACTATACCGATAAAAAGGGATTACTGTTTTCTTAATTTATAATGTATTAAAACACGGGTTATCAAGGAATTAGTATTACTGCTGTTTTCCTTTTTTTCCATGTTTTTACTTTTCTTTCTAAGTTTGTCTTTCTCCATTCAATTCATTAAAGAGTGCATTCTGAGCAAGTCCATGTGCTGGGAGCTATGCTGTTGACCTGAGTCCACAAATATGAGTAAGTCTAGGCATTCACAGCCTAATAAGGAGAACACAGAAGAATACTTCAAAGATTTGAGTACAGAAAAGTAACTTTGCACCTGTTTTTTCATGTATAATATCCTTTCTCGGAATCATGATATAGCTTTACAAACAAGAGAAAGCGTTTTGACATCTTTCATTTGAAACTGTATCTTTATCAATAATTTGTATTCCCTTCTCTCTAAACTCCCTTCCAAATTTCTCTGTTTGATTAGTCTTCTTTCTCTTCAGTCCTGATATCCTCCTGCAGTAATTGAACATGGAATTCTATGTTTGTGAATTAAGTCAAAGTCGAAGAGGTAGGGGCTCCCCAGGGGGTGGACTCCTGATGGACAAGGGCAACACTGAGGTAAGTCTTAAATCAAGAAACCAGAGACATCCACACAATCTTATCTGGATGTATCCTGCTAAGCACACAGCAGTCACTTACTGGAGAGCCAGTTAAGTTCATGATCTAATTCTAATTCAGTTTGGTGAGATTACAAGGATGAGGAAATGGAGTTATAATAGGGAAAAAGGTCCAATGAAGAGATAAATTTGGAAGAAATGGATGATGTCTTGGGAAAGAAATGCACGTTAGGGAGAAAAGCCACCAGACATTTAGGGGAGGGGGTGGAAGCATGCCCCACTGTGCCTTCGCAGCACCGACGCACATTGGCCTTTATGGGCTCCTCCTCCATACAAATATTAACATATTTTACAATTGTGTTAGGATAAAAATGAATGTATCCAGGCTGGATTCACTGTTACATAGTCATTACTAATACAAATCATTTTCCCCTGATTTAAAAAAAAAATAAAGGTGAAACATTTTCCTACGTCCCTAAAAGAATAGTGGGCTGTAGGCACTGTGCCTTCTGTATCTAATGGGTACGTCAGCCCTGAGAGGAAGTACACCAGGCACAGAGATGAGGGGTATAAGGTAGTGAATTCACCACAATGTGAACTTTGGTGATTTTACTTATGAGTTGTCCTGGGCCCTTCTCACATTTCTGTTAGATCAGAGATGGAGCCCTGGAAGAAACCTCTGGTCTGAGGTCTACAGGAAGCCCTGGTTTACTCCTACACTGGAAATCAGGCCTGCCTTCCTGGTTAGGGAAGCTCAGTTTCTCTGCTGACCTACATGCTACAGAAAACAATGTGTGTGGACCTCCCTCCCACCCCACCCCGCCATCTCACCCATCTAGGTCATCACAGAGTACCGAACTGAGCTCCCTGTGCTATACAGCAGGTTCCCATTAGCTGTCTATTTTACACACGGTAGTGTATATATGTCAATCGAAATCTCCCAATTCATCCCACCCCTCCACCTCCAACCCCCGTGTCCACAAGTCCGTTCTCTACGTCTGCGTCTCTATTCCTACCCTGCAAACAGGTTCATCTGTAAGGGGATATATGTATACATATACCTGATTCACTTCTTTGTACAGCAGAAACTAACGCAACGTTGTGAAGCAATTATACTCCAAGAAAAAAGAAAAAAGAAAATAACATGTGTGAAATATATACAAGTCACTTACAAGAGTAAATCATAATATCGTACATTACTGTTGAGACCATCAATTGCTTTCATGTCTTCTGGAGTTAATTCAAAATCGAGAACCTGGAAGGAAGGGAAGAATCACATTAACCTCTTCCCCAAGGAGTTGGCCTCCCCCTGGGAACTGGAGGACTTTCCAGCTGGATGGAGGCAAGAAGAGAGTACAGGGAAGACTCGCCTGTCCTCAGCTTCCAAGTGAACCAGCCTGGTAACACTTCTGCGGGGTTCTCCACCTCTCCTTCCCACTCCCTCTCCTTTTCTGCTCCATTTCACACACACACACACACACACACACACACACACACACACACACACACACACACA